GGGGTACTATCATTTGGCCATCTTTTACAAGTAAGTCAAAGATTTCATCACATTTTGTAATATCAAAACTATAAGTCTTTTTGGGGAACCTATCGTTGGTCCTTTCTGGACCAGTGAGATTTTTTCCACTTGAGGGGACTAACAGTTTGCAAGAGTATGATGGCCCTTGTTTTAGTTCCGCTAAATCGACCTCGCCTTCTTCGACGGTTATAGTTTCGTCGAAGGTTTCAGGATCTTCGTCATCCATCTCGACATATGCTATCCTCTCTCTTTTATGAGTTTTCGTTGCCTTGGCTTTCTCAGCTTTGAGGCGTTCTACCTGTCGAACTCTATCAGCCAATTGGGCCATGTCTCTCAGGTATTGAGTGTCTAACTTCTTCCTAATGGAATAATCTAAACCGCCTGCGGCTATTTCGACTAACTCATGCTCTGGCACTTGTGTAAAACATCTTGCTTTGAGCAACCTAAACCTATTTAGATATTCGTCTATAGGTTCAGTGAAACGTCTCTTTACACTGGCTAATTCTTTCAGGCTTATCTTGGTTTGTCCCATGTAGAATTGCTCATGGAACAATCTCTCCAACTGGGTCCAATGATGGATCGAATTGGGGGGGAGAGTTGTAAACCAAGTAAATGCGTTCTTTGTTAAAGAACTTGGGAAGTACTTAATCCTCAGGTTTTCGTTGTTTGAAATATCTCCTACTTCGATCAAGTATCTCGCCACATGTTCGACAGTAGATTCTGTCGTGTCCCCAGAGAATTTAGTGAACTTAGGGACTTTACATCTAGGAGGTAAGTATGTTTGTAACACGTATTCTGATAGTGGGGATGTGAAGTTGGGCCTACGAAAGCCCATGTTCATCCCATTCTGCGTCATGATTCTTTCGATCATGGCTGCCAGATTATTTTCCAAACCCATATTCTGGTATTGGATATGCTGAACTACTTCGTCAGCATTTTGGTTTCTTTTAACTAACCTTACATCTGGGGCTATAACCCTAGGTTCTTCGACAGGCTGCTCCAATCGTGCCCTAAGATTTTCTTCGACAGGCTGCTGGACTTGGTTGATAGTGGTTTCTTCCTCTAAGAGTATACCTTGGTTTCCCCTTATTTGCGCCCTTTGGGGTTGTCGAATAGGTTGGGGTACCCCAAAGAAATCAGCCAAACGCGTCATTTGCGCCGTCATCTGCTGATTCGACTGGGTGGTGTTTTGTATTAGAGGATTCAGCACTGTACTTAAAGTTTTTGCCAACATTTGAACCATATTATGGTTGCTTTCGTCCATTTGTTGCCTCAAGACTGCTGTCGAGGCATTTGTAAGGCCATGTGCTACTTGGGACGTTCCTCCTAAGAGTCGGGTCCTATTTCTGTTCGCCATACCTACTCCAGAGCCTTGGAGTGGCGAAGAGGCACTCACTAAAGGGTCTGAAAAAGTGGACGCAGCGTTCGTCAGGCTAGCCAATTCAGAAGTTGGCATGCCATAGAGTGGTTCTCGATTTTGACCGCCTGTCATAAATCCTGGGGGAACATAAGGCCTGGTGCCTAGATTTCCCCTTGGTGGGGGAGTTCCCAAAGGCACTCTGGGGCCAGTGAACGGAGGTAATGGCCCCGTCGTTGTGACCGTTACTGCAGGTGTTGAACCAGCAGTTATCGCTTCACTTACGGTTGGGATAACCGTTGTTCCCACATTCGTTTGTGGGATTTCGTTATTGTTTGGCGGATTCGCCATCGCTTCTCTTCTTCTGGCAGTATTGGTATTGTTAGTGTATATTCTACCACTTCTCAATAACATGCAATACTTCTCGAAAAAGATGATATTCTGTATAAAAAGGTTAAACTTCAAAATCAACATACAGTCCCACCAGGTGTGCCAATTTGTTTACCGTGGGAATTGGTAAACAACCGCTGATCTTCCAAAAGGTTACTTATTTGGTGACTCGCAGGATCGATCAGATTGATCCTAAGACATGGTTGATTTTGGGGTTTTGACTAAGTTTGGTAATGGTTAAATGACGAGAAAATAAAGAAGCTTTATGTAAATTGCATGAAGAAGAGAACTTGATAAAATAAAGAAAGGCTTGAAATGAAATGCTTCGACTGGGAAAGTAAAGAAGAAAGCAAGTAAAGTTTCTGGAAAATAAATGACTTTGATTAATTAAAGTGGTGTTTCACACATACATTCTCAACAATTCTTTCTCTCACGCTGGGTACTCGAATCTATATGAGTAACTTGTATATAATTGTGAACACACGCGAAAAACTGCGTGAACTACTAATATTTATACTAAACACATCCCAAGTAACCGTCGGGCAGTTACGCTGCTTCGAGATGACTCCACTTGGCACGTTCACAGCGTTCGACGCCCCAGATCTTGGCATGTTGCACTTGGTAACCGCTGGGAACCGTCTTCCCTCCAAACGTTTGAATCTCAAACCGTTCCACTCTGAGCAATCGAACACCTTCGTCGAAAAGTGCCTTCGACGTCGAAGGCAACAAGATTCTTCCTTGGAAGAATTTCTCTAAGTACATTGCCATCTTCTGATGGGCATTTCGACAGACCCAGCTGGTCGAAACCATCCTTCAGCTTTAATGGCTGATATTAATAAAAACAAGGGTGTCGAATTTAGGAGCCAACACAGGGCGAGGCCTTTATACCAGTCCATCGCTGCCTTTCTGAGGGTCGTGGGGAACAGCCGGCATTTGATGGGCCCCCCCGACGTTGTGATAGTGCAGCATAGCCTCGAACCCATCTATGTGGTCGACCGGGTCCGCGACTCCATCGTATTCCTTCAAATGTGGAGGCTTCTCCATGCCCGGGGGAATGGGCGCCTCCATGATAGCTTGCGACAGGGGACCGCGGGGGTTGTGCTCGTCGCTTCGCTCTGGGGACATGAATAGGGACCTGTAATACTGTCGGGCACGACGGTCCTGGTCGTGCTGGGTATCTCTTGAGTGCGGTGCTCATTTGTTGATTCTTCTATGCCCGTCTCCGGAGTGTCTTCTTTCCTGCCTTGCAGGGGCGCGGCCGCGTCCTCCGGCTTCGATGATGGGTTGCCTCTCCAAAGGGGGCCGTTTCCCCGATGGTCGGGGTGACGGGCTTAGAGAGGTATCTCTGTAGTGTCTCCGCGGGGGAGACGGGAAATGGACCTCAGTTACTCGAGGAGGTGGAGTCTGGGGCCTCCGGTGCCTCCTCGGGGTTCTTCGATCGTCTTCAAGTGCCCTCAATCTTTCCCCTTGGGCGAAGATGAGGTAATTCGTCTGATTGATCGCCGCGAACAGCGCTCAGGTTATGGCATCTGCCCCAGCGGGAACAGGGACTTCCTGAAACTGAGCAGCTCGATAGTTTGTGAGAGCTGCATCGTCTTCTTCGAGTGGCGGAGGGACCGAGGAGGATGAAGCGGTAGCTCCATCGCGATGGATTGAAGGCCCGGGGGCAGTTGACACAGGGATGGTGCTATGACCGGGGTTACCAGTGTTATCAAGGTGTCCATTTTTATCCGTGAGGCCGTTGTTGGTGTCGACGACGCAGACATTTTGTTCATCACGAACTTGGTCAGCCATGACGGTGATAGTTGAGTTGAGCTTTGGTCTTTGAGTTTTTGCAAGACGGGGAAGCTAGATTCCCACAGATGGCGCCACTGATCTTACCTGATCAGACTTGGACCGTCACGACTGGCTCCGAGCTGAAGTTTGAACGAGATGAGGGGGGGGGGGGGGGGGGTACCTGCAAGGCACTCCGATGCTAAAGTGAGTGGTAGTACGAGCAGGCAATAAAGTGTGTATGTGGGTAAGAGAATGAATACCTGACCCTCTTGGAATAGAGGGTATTTATAGCCCCCAGCGCTGGGCCAAGGTCCCTTCATTGGGCCGACCAAGATTGGCCCAATAAAGAAACTGCCAGGTTCTACGTGTGTAGTGGGGACCCACACGTGGTCTCCTTCCTGGGTGCTCTGCGAGAAGTACGGACGAACGAGGACGCGGTCTTTTCGGAGTTCAGGTGATGGTGTAACGGTCATAGTCTGCCCTACGAGGGGGTGCTCGAGCCGGACTCGAGCTGGACTGTATGAGGTTGAGGACGTTGCGTTTGCGGGCAATGGCGGGCACGTTTGTAGCTTCTGGTCGACGCGCCCCCTATAGAGCCGTTTGGATTGGGCCTATTCTTGCTCTTGGGCCAACCTGGGCCCAGTCCAGAACAGTATTGAAGTAGATCCCACCAAGGTGAAAGCGATACAAGAGATGCCTGCTCCTCGTACTGAGAAGGAAGTCAGAGGATTCTTGGGACGTTTAAACTACATTTCCAGATTCATTTCTCACCTAACAGCTACTTGTGAACCAATCTTCAAATTAGTGAAGAAAGATCAAGTAGTCAAATGGAATGATGAGTGCCAAACTGCTTTCGAAAAGATCAAAGAATACCTGCAAGAGCCTCTTGTGTTGATGCCACCAGTCGAGGGAAGACCATTGATTATGTATCTAACTGTTTTGGAAAATTCAATGGGGTGTGTGATGGGGAAGCATGACGAGTCTGGCCGAAAAGAGCACGTTATTTATTACATGAGCAAAAAGTTTATCGACTGTGAAACAAGATATTCACTGCTCGAGAAAACTTGTTGCGCTCTGGCATGGGCTGCTCGCCGGCTAAGACAGTATATGTTGACCCATACTACCTTGTTGATATCTAAAATGGATCCAATAAAATAAATCTTCGAGAAGCCTGCCCTCTCTGGGAGAATAGTGAGATGACAGATGATTCTGACAGAATATGACATACAATATACTACCCAAAAAAAAAAAAGTCCAATTTTCTTTGTGAAAACAAAAACCATAGTTGTGGACCCAGTGCTTAGAAGGTGAGCTTGTCTGATCAACTCTTGATAATCTTTGAGCATTTGAGAACTTTTGTAGAAATGTCTTAAAAAAAAGAGAACAAATTTTGGGATACAACAATATTTATATTCAATTTTTATTTATTTTTTAACTTTTAATTTATCTAATTAATGTAAATACTCTGTTTTATGTGTCTCACGCTTCACATACCAACCTAGGTACATGTTTAAGAGAATATGGAAGACCGAAGAAAATATACCTCAAGCCGTTTCACATTCATCATCAATTTCTCTTCTACCAATCTCATTCATCTCATCTTCTATGTCACACCTTCAATTTTTTAGGTAACCAATTAAAGTTTTTGTTGATATCTCTCTCTCTAATCCCGGTTCAAGATAAAAAACAACAACAACAACAGAACACTCTAATCAAATATGTTCAGATCTGTCACTCATTCTTGATCTTCAAACGCGTCGATTCAAAAATCAAGAGAAAAGAAGAAACGAACCCTAAACCCATCAAATCCCATACCCATATTTGATATTCACGGTACATACATGGTGAAAAAACGAAGATGCAACAACATCTTACAAACAAAAGATAAAAACAAAATCGAAAAGGGTCAGGTACGTGGAATGCTTCCTCTTCTCTTTTCTGATCCACTTCTGTTTGCTTCGTCTTCTTCTCACTAATTTCTGGTTCGTTTTTCTCCTTCGTTTTCTTTTGTGGGTTATTATTGTTTGTGCGATGTGATAGCGGTGTCTGAGTTTGGATTGTGGGAGTTCTGAGTGGTTGAGTGAAGGTGTTGAGGACTTATGGTTATGGTTTGGTTATGGCAAACATGATTTGTTAAACGGGGTCGAAGAAAGTTTGTGTTTTTATATCCATTATGTTTTCAAAATGATATCTGTATATTAAACATTACGTTTTTCAAATCTTTACATTACGTTTACTTTAAACTCACCTTTCATTTTGTATATTGAACATGCTATACTGAAAATATTGTTCTCTTTGTTGTGCTTTAGGTTATCGTGCTCCCATTCTCAACGTTTTCGTTTTCCCAACAAAGGTATGTCTTTCGCTCTCTCCGTTGCACGCATCATCTTCCAAATGCTACTTTTTTCTCTTTGAAACAAGAAAAGTTATGTACGTTTTGAAAAAACTACGTTTTCGCTCTCTCGGTTAAAACAAGTAAATGTTATTAACATTTTGAAATAGCGTTGGCTGCAGACCAGTTTTTAAGAAGCAACTTAATGCTTTTAGTTTCTTTGCATTGTCAAAACTGAGTTTATATTTATTATGTTGTTTCGCTTTCATTTGACTCTGATTTTATCAATGTTCATTCATAATTGGCTTGCAAAATGTTGACTGCATTTTTATCTATTTTTATCTAACTTTCCTCTATTGTTCGAAAATTGTCGTCAAAGTGCCTTTTGAGAGCTTCTGTTTTCATTCTTAACTGTCTTCATAATCTAAATACCTTCTCTCTATTTTAGTTACTCAAGTTCTTTTCTCCGGTGAGAAGATCCAAGATATCATTTCTATATCGGCAAATTCCATTCTGATTCTTGGACAAGATAATTTTTTTTTCGTGCATGACTTGATATTCGATTCTATATACATGAACAAGAAAGAGGGAACACATAATAGCTAAGACTATTTAGATTTTATATTAAGTTTTACTATTATTGCCTTGATGTTTACCTGCCATTATCCTATGGTTAAGTACTGCTTTATTAAGTTTAGAGTCGACATGCAACAACTAGCTGAAACTGTGATGTAGAACTATTTATTTCAAATCCATTTATTTTAGATTTCATTCAATTAGTTTACAGGTCTCTTTGATTATTTCACAAAGCAAACCAAATGTAAAACATGTATGATATTCAGTTGTTTCATACTGTTTCATGTTTTTTATGAGCATCACTAGAGATATTAATATGTGAAAAACTTCTCTCAAATCCTGTAAGAGAATTTCCAAAATAATATTAAATTAAATGATTGTATTATTTGAATTAATAATATAAATATTATATTCAGATATATATATTATTTAAATTAAATGATTGTTGGTATAATGTGCCGTGTCAATTGGTTACCTATTAATTAGGAACAGTTGCAATTTATAAGCAAACCATTGCTATTTCTATGCAAAAACGTTGTTACTGATACGTTGTTATCAAAAGGTGCAATTCCTTTTCATGGAGAAGCATCTGTTCCCAAACAGATTATAGTCTCACTATAAATTGAATGTTTGTTGGCACAATGAAGAAGATCAAGAATAATCAGTCTCAAATCATTTTCTCATACTAAATCATCTTTCTCTTCTCTAATGCATGAGAGCAAGAAAAAGAATTATTCTTCTGTTAAATACTATTAAAGATACGCTTAGAGAGATTGTGCAATTCTCTTTAACGATTCCAAAGTATCCTACAGGAAAGATTGGTGGGGGCGAATTGTTCCTTAAGCTTAGTGTGGAAACATACGCTTTGGAATTTTCTCAAGCAAATTTATTTCTCTATTTTTCATCTTCATTCATTCTCACTTTTGCAGCAGCCCCATAAAGACATTTTAATAACAATCTTAAGGAACAACCTTTTATTCAATGGTTGCCTCACTCAAAGAGAAGAAAATGAAACTGTTGATGAATCTAGAGAGAGACAAAAGTGGGACAATAATTATATATGTATGGGACACATCCTCAACGGCATGTGTGATTCGTTGTTCGACATTTATCATAGCAGTAACTCCGCAAAAGAATTATGGGAGAAATTGGAATCAAGATACATGCAAGAAGACGCTACAAGTAAGAAGTTTCTTGTCTCTCAATTTAATAATGTAGGTGTTTAGGTATTGGCTTGCATTTTTGGTAAATCCCAAGTGTATGTGTGAATGTCATGACTGATGTCACAACATTCTAGTTCAGTTTGTACTGACTCATTAGGTACCTTTGCAGAAAAATATTGTAATTCAAATACTGATGTTTATAAGTGTGTATCTGAGCATTTTTGCAAAATGATCATATTTTGCTAAATCAGTAGACAGGTTTTCTCAGATGTCATAACAGATGTTATGACATCCTGTTCTGAACTAACAGGATTGCAGGATTGGATAAGTCTGAGTTTTTTCAGGAAATAACTCAGTCCTTTCTGAACAGAATCCTGCGTTTTCTGAGGGGTAACCTAGCTCAACCCTAACCTGGTTAATAAAGTCTTGTGACCTGGTCTTTAGGTCAAACGGAATTAACCCTAGGTTTTTGGAAACCCTAACTGAAGTTGCAGCTGCTATATATTCAACAGAGTTGCTGTTTTTCAATGATCCCTGCTGATTGATTAGAAGATCATTTTGTAATCTGTATAGATTTGTTTATTTGTACTCCAAGCAATTATCATTGTGATAAGTGCCTTGGAATAGGTTTCTATTTGTAAGGGTTGTGTAGCACTCAAAGCTTTGAAGCAAGAGTGTTTGAATGTTCCTTGACTAAAGCTGTGAAGCAGAGTCAAGTTAGTTGTGTACATCACTCAAAGCTGTGAAGCACGAGTGATTGTGTTGCTTGATTAAAAAGCTGTGAAGCTTAATCAAGTGTGTGTTTTTGAAGAGTGTCTTCATCAATTCTTAAGTCAAATTGGTTTATGTATCACTGCTGTGATTGAGGGGGAGTGAGTAGGAACTCAGGTTTAAGTTGTACTTAGATTAGAATTGCATTGGGTAGGTCTTAAGTGAAGGAGATAAACTGGTTGGTTTATTCCTGAACTAACATCTCTTATAGTGGATTCTCTCCCTGGCTTGGTAGCCCCCAGAGTAGGTGTTGTTGCACACTGAACTGGGTAAACAATTGACTGTGTTCTTTATTGTTTTTGTATTTACTGTCATATAGTAAGTCAGATACGGTGTCATAACATTGAACGTGACATTGAGTATCTGCAGCCAGAATTTCAATTGGCATCAGAGCAGGCACCCTGCCTGTATTACTGGGTGAGATCTAGGGATATCACTTTCTGGCACTATGGACAAAGAAGGAGTTTTTGGAAATAGACCACCCATTCTGGACGGAACCAATTATGACTACTGGAAACCTCGTATGATTGCCTTCCTAAAATCTCTGGACAAAAAGGCTTGGAGAGCTGCTGACAAAGGATGGATTCATCCCACCATAACTGAGATAGATGGGACAATCAGTCTGAAGCCTGAGGAAGATTGGAGTAAAGAAGAAGATGATTTAGCTCTGGGAAATTCAAAAGCTTTAAATGCCTTGTTCAATGGAATTGATAGAAACATTTTCAGACTAGTACATCAATATGAACTGGCCAAGGAAGTTTGGGACACTCTCAAAACTACTCATGAGGGCACTTCCAAAGTAAAAATGTCAAGGCTTCAGATGTTGACTACAAAATTTGAGAATCTAAAAATGATGGAAGATGAAACCATTCATGAGTTTCACATGAACATCTTGGAGATTGCCAACACCTCGGGAGCACTGGGAGAAAAGATGTCAGAAGAAAAACTGGTGAGGAAGATTCTCAGATCCTTGCCTAAAAGATTTGCAATGAAGGTAACTGCCATAGAGGAAGCCTAGGACATTAGCAAGTTGAAAGTGGATGAACTTATTGGGTCTCTTCAGACTTTTGAGATGGGGATCACTGATAATGGTGACAAGAAGAACAAAAGCATAGCACTTGTATCCAACACTGATGTTGAATACAAGGAGGATGAAGAAGAAAACATATCAGAAGCTATTGCCATGCTTGGAAGACAGTTCAACAGGCTCATCAAAAGAATGGACCCAAAGTCAAGGTCTAATGTTCATAACATTCCCTCTGACATTGACAGTTCCAGCAGAAGACCAAGGTCAGAAGATAAGGGAAACCAAGGCAGAGGTATTCAATGCCATGGATGTGAAGGATATGGACATATTCGAGCTGAATGTCCTACCTTTCTTAAGAAGCAAAAGAAAGGAATGACTGTTACTTGGTCTGACTATGATTCAGAAAGTAATTCTGAAGAAGAATCTGCCAAACTAGTTACTGCCCTAACTAGTGTTTGTACTTCTGAAAGTGACACTAGTGATGAAGAAGTGACATTTGAAGAACTGGCTGATACCTACAAGAAATTGTGTATCAGAAGCGCTGAAGTCTGTGTGCAGAATGAAAAACAATCAAAACTCATTATAAAGCTGGAGGCTGAAAAAAGGGCAAATCTTGAAACTATAAGTCATCTAGAAGGAGAAGTTCAACTGCTGAACTCACAACTGAATCAAATGACCAAATCTGTCAAGATGTTGACCAATGGAACAGACAAATTGGAAGAGATCCTTCAGGTTGGACAAAATGTGGGAAATAAATCTGGACTAGGATTTATGGAAGCAAAGAAATCTGGTACTGGTAAGCAAATGTCAAAACGGATGTCTCAACACAACTCTCAACATCAGGAACAAAGACATATGAAGAAAAGGTACCAAAGATGGAAATGCCATCATTGTGGTAGATATGGCCACATAAAGCCCTTCTGCTTCAGATTACATGGATACCCTAATCAGATCTC